CCCCCCGATGGAACCAGCATTCACAAATTTGGCGTCGAATAGGAATGACATGTCACATTATGCCATGATTGTGGAGCAAATTGAGGCTTGATTGCTTGCTGTAAATTGTTTTCTATGCTTATTGTTTATCTCTATAGTCCTAAACAGGGGAGAGGGTTCAGCAGAGGCAGCGTTTACTCCAAAGTACTGAGATGGATTTGTAGGTGAAAAACTAAATGATTGAAAACAGTGAGTAGAACCATTACTGATGCAACATCTTGTTGGGTGAATTTCTGACCATCAGTCTCTCGTAGCATTCTGTTGGACCTGTGATCCATCCTTTGCTTCTGTTCATTCAGGTTTTCAGACATTTTTCTGAAATGTTGATGTTTCTGGGACAACTTCACCTGCTTCTAAAGTCAGTGGAGAGGAACAGAAAAAGTCATCAGGTTAGGACTCCAAACACTTACCAGCTCATAACACACAAAAATCAATTATTTTTCATTTACATTAAAATGAACCGTCTGTTATTTCTGTAAAGTTTTTTTTTTTCATTTTCTCGATATTGTAAATGTTCTTGACTCCTTTGAGGTTTTACTGTCGTGTGTTGTCCCTGAGCATGTATGTATCAGATTAATCCTGTTATTAATTTTTAGCACTCCTTTAAATTACCACTAAAGTCATCCATCATGCTTGTCTGCCTATAAGTTACCCCTAAGGTTGTGCATCCAGCCTGTTAGTTTATTTGGAGAAGTGGTTCTGAAAAGAAACAAGAAACACATGTTCATGCTGTGTGGCAATATTACTTTTAGCAGAAGTGCCTATGAAAACAAGTTGTAGATGTAAAAGCAAGCAGGAGACCTGCAGCCGATGAGAAATGCAGCGAGGGTTCAGACGTCACGCGGAGAAGCTGCGTGCAGGAAGAGAGGCTTTGAAATCATGAAGTAGCTTCCTGTAGATATCTGGTCCTGTGCCGCCTAATTGTGCCTACCCACATCCTCTGCTTTCTTATTATAGATTTATTTAATAAGCGATTGCTCTTTGTTCAGATGTGTTCTATTATTATTATTATTATTGAGCATTTCTTCGCTATCTTGTCCTGCTTAGATTATATTTCTGGAAGCTCTGCGTTGATCTTTTGTAGCCGTTTCCTCTTTTGAAACTATGATCCCGGTAATCAAGACCAGAATCTCATCCAGGTTTTCTAGTTCAAACATCGGGTGGCAGATACGGCGAGGAGGGATTTCTGTATCAGGAACCAACTGATGCATGTTTAGGGGACAGTTTACTGGTTTCTAAAGGAAAACGTGCTTTCATTCTTTCGATTCATGTCGTCTTTGAGCAATTTAACCCCGAGAAACTGAAAAATGTTAACATGAAACAAAAACCAGCTGAGCATCGTTGTACATGAACACAGGTCTTTTAGGAGACTGACTCACGCCTCGCTTTCATCTTTAAATATCTGCGAGATGCTGGATCTGCTTCAGTCCTGATGATGTCTTTTGAACCAGTTAGCTTTTTGCCCTTTCTTTTGAATCCAGATAGTCGTTCTCATCTGCTGGATGTTTTGTTCTGAGCCCTCGGCTAATTTGGTGCTACTAGTAAAGATTTTGCCGTCAGTTTGGGCCGTTCAAAGGTTTTGCTGGAATTTGAGGTTTTGCATCGATTTGTTTACTTTGGGATGGATTGTGTTTGGTTTTAGTCAACAAAACATTTGTGACTCATGAAACATCCAGACTACCCAAAGACAGCATGTAAGTAAACAAGTTTACGAAAAGGTCACAATTCCTGACATGAGATGCTTAATGCTGGTTGATGGCACCCTCCAGTTATTGGCACTCCATGCAAAAATGTGTTAAAAAAAATAAACTGAGACTAATTTTTATGGCAGGAAAATTCTACAACTAAAAATGTAATTCAGGTAAATTTATCTGTGGAGGAGAAAAATCTAATGGGTTTTCTACAAATTCACTGGTGTTCACTAATTAGTCTTGAGACACATGGACCGTCTTTAAAAAAAAAAAAAAGTCTGAAGTATAAAACTTGACAGCCGTGGTTGGAATTTAAAAAAAGCTTCTATTTTGAGTTATTTTTATTAACAATAAATCATGAAAAGCTAGATTTTTCTGAACTTTACAGTGCGACTATCTCCTGCAAGGCAACAACTCTACCAATACACTGCTTTGCTTATTTTGAGAAATTGTAGTTAATATCTAATTAGACATGTTACTTTATGTACAACTACGGTCCAGAGAAGAAATTTTCACTTCTCTGTTCAAATGACACTCAAAAATATTTTCTACATAAATATTTGTGTGAAGTAGCAAAGGTTCAGCTTTTTATCAGCTGAATGTGATGAAATAATTTTCTCTGGATGGAAGCGCTTAGTGCCGTTTGCCCAACAGGAGACAAATGATCAGTGAGCTCAGACTATTTTGTGTGAAGGAGAGATGAAGGAGCTCAGCTGAGGAATCCAGTTTGCCGTTTCCAGATAAATACAAATCGGCAGCTGCTCAAGCCTTTGTTCGTGTTTACAATACACAGATAATCCTGTTGGGTCTCCATTCACCTCTGCCGGGTTTATGTACTATTATGACCAGCTCGCTGTACGTAATCCTGTTTATTGTACATCTAAATTACCGAAATGAGCTGCTGTACTTGCCTTTGTTAGCTACACCAGCTGTTACTGTAGCTTTCTCCTGAGCCGGTTTCTAATCTGACCTGGAGATCGGGCCAGAATTTTCAATTGGATAATAACTAGTGTTTCACCTTCATCACCACTGCTCCTCCTCTCCAGCAGGACTGCAGTGCTTTGCATGTTTATTACGGAGATGCTGCTCGAGGCTTCAGCTCAGGAGAGCAGCGGCTCTGTCTGAACAGTTTCTATGGGATGATGAAGCAGTCTTTAGTGTCTGCGTGGGGCTGTCAGGAAGCGTTTCCTGTTGAGGATCGCTTGTCTTTACGTTCCTGGTTAGAAGCAGGTGAGAACGGCTCCAGCTTGTTGTCCTGAAGTAGCGTTCTTGGGTTTCAGCTCGCCCTCTTGAAGCTAAGGTCGGAATGAATGTCGATGAAAGCAAGTCTGGCATCTTTATAAGCGAAGCTTCCTCCTGAGCGTCTGGAGAGACTTGCACTCTTCTTGCCCTTTTGTTCTCTCATTTTCAGCTCCGCTGTGCTCCAAAAGACGCCGGCTCTGCTTGCGGAGCAGCTCAGTACGGAGAAATTGTCATATTGAGTAAAATTCATGTCACTGCGAAAACAACCAAAGGCGAACAATGATAATTTAATCACTTGCAGCTAGATACAAACTGAAGAGTGATAGTGTGAGCAGGGGTGAGGACGACATTCACAAGGTTGGTTGTTGATGGGTTATGGAGTCAGACGGAGATGCAATGTTGTTGGATCAGAACAGTAACGACTTTAACTTTTGTTCCAAAATTGTAAATACTTGAAGTACTCCCAAAACTCTGAGCTAAATCCTGGTTTGATTGTTAATCTACAATTTGGAGAAGTAGCAGCCAGAAGGTGCCAATTAAGTGCTCATCAGTGTGAGCAGCTCTGTAAAGACTGGAGTGATTGGAGGCTTGCTGGTCGTCGTCAAGATGGCGGGACATCAGCAATGCTGCCAGTTACAAACAGGTCTGTTGTGGTAACAAATTTTGCAGGCTGATTGTCCCAGAAAGTTTTGTGAAAAATATATATATATTTTTAAACACTTTTCAAGTACTATAATAGTAATGGAAAAAAAGTATTACAAGTTTGCCCTCTCAAAACTTTAAATTTCTAAAGGACATGTAACACAGGAACTGGTTTAGGGATGTTTTAAATATCAAAAATAAATAAAACAACATATAAAATGGATACTTTGCAGCATAGAATAGAAAACACTGTGCACCATCTGTAGAGCATGATGGAGGAGGAACGATGGTTTGAGCAACGTGCAGTAATTGACTAAAGTATTTTGAGAAATGACTCGACAGGATAATGATCCCAACTAGAACAAATCTACAGAAGATTGGCTGAAAATAAAAAAAATAAAGCAGTGGTTTTCCAGACCCACTGCTCTAAATGTTGAAATTGATCCAACATGCAGCCTACAAGTCAGCTGATGATGTGGCAGCAGGGAAGCATGCAGGGTTGTACTGAAAACAAACCAAAACTGAATGAGGTGAAATGTAATCATTTATTGCTGCTGGTTGCAGATTTATCTAAACCTGAAACATGACTGAAGCTTCAAATACAAGTGGACAAAACGAAGCTATGCATTTTTTTTAAAAATTTAATTCACACAACAAATAAGAATAGTTAATGTAACGACTAAAATAAGCCATGAATGAAAAGGAGTGTAAACGTGTATCTTTCCCCTTTGGCGATGGGACGAATCCTCTGTCTGGTGACCTCCGAACATTTCTGCTCTCATGTTGTCCGTCTAAAACGTGCAGAATCCTCTACAGGCTCGGTTCTGGTCTGCAGGTGAACCAAAATCAACCAGTACCTCTGGGGCCATTTACTGTTAACAACTTGTAAAGACCTGAAACAAAAGCTGCAAGCAAATGTAATCATTATATAGTAATTTATTAATTTTGGCGGATGTTTTTTTTTTTCTTTTTTTTTTCTGAAGGGCAATGTACAGCTTTTACCAGAGCCATAGTACAATACTTTATAATTATACAACATTTACATGTGCATTTGGGTTTTATACATCAAACGACAGGTGAGCCGTGAAAAGAGGAACACGGAGTGAACGTGGTTCAACACAGGCACAGGAGACGAAGCAAAATAACTGATCAGCCGATAGAAAACTTTAAATACAGAGTGTGGCAACAGCTCATGGACCGACCAAATACCATCAAAGCAAAGGCTTCAAAAAAAAATACTCAATAACCAATCAGAACAGACTCGTTAACGATGGGAGCAAAAAACCGTGTTTTCACACATTTATATTCCACAACAGCCATCCTAGGATAGAAAAAAGGGATAAAATATACAAATTAGAGATGGAAATCAAAGTACAAGATCAATCCAACAATAACAATGGTTTCCATATGTAGAGGGAAAAGAAATATTTAACAGAGTAAACGGTCTTTAGATGTGCCTTCAATCTTTTAGATTCACCTTAAACAACAAACGGATCGATTGTAACCTGAGTTACATTTTTTTGGGATTGTTTTTGCTCTGTACTGATAAAAATATATGAAAGCAGATTTAAAAAAAAAAAGTTGGCTTTGAAGAGGCGTTCAATAATTTATACTGCCACTTCCAAATAATAAATAAATGAATTTATAAATAAACAAGCAGGCAAGCAAAACATCTACACTTTTTTTTTTTTAAATCCTTTCCCCCAGTATAAATTTGTCTGGTAATCCAGTGTCTGACTTTTGAAAAATAGTCAAAGTTCTGTACCGCGCCATGGTTCTGGTTCTGTAGTGGAGTGGTAGCAGTGGGCCACCAG